TTTTGAAAATTATGTAAGTGCATTTAATTGAAAACAGCATTTATAAGAAAATAGATTCCTTTCACTTCCAAAAGAAGCTTAGCACAACGGCCACAAAGTTAAATAAATTCAAAATATCTATAAAACTATATATTTCAGAAAAAAATGTGTACTTGTAGCATTCCATTATTCTAAATACAATTTTTTAAATATAGCCCAAAATTTTTAATATCCACGACAATGATATTTTTGCAATTTTAAGATTACATTATAGTTAAAATTATATTTCGAATAAAAAAATTTTTGATATATTTCATCATTCTACTGTGACATAAACTTGTTTTAAATAAATAAATAAATAACTCGAAAATAGCCAGGCTTCTCGAATAAACTGAAACATATCTTTTTTCATTGAAATAAAATTAAAACTTCAAGGTATTTATCCAATTTCCAAAATAATTCGTGACATCGAAGTTCTAGGGTTGCTTGTTTTGTTTTCAATTAATATTGTTAAGATGAACGGAATCTAGGAAGTTATTGGAGCTTGGGACATCATTTAAATAATTTTCAATTACGTATGACATTATTTTTCTTGACACGCTATCCATGCCTACTGAGCACAGTCGATGCTGAAAGTGAAAATCGATTTTAGCTCATGTGGGAAGTTTCATTTAGTAAAGGACACGGTTCCAGCACCGTCGGCGCACAATACCTTACGAGGAAACCAGTCGTAATCGGTAATACAAAGCAGATGCCGAAAAATAATCATTAAGAATGATGGGTAATTAAGGTCAAGCCTAATAATAATTTTAAACAAATCTGTGACATTTTTTTAATAATACAATATATTAAAATATCTGTTTAGGGTTTAAACTATATTTTTTAAACTTCGATATTATTAAATTTTTAAATAGGTTCGTATTGAATAATAAAATTAATTTCAAATATATTGTTAATTTCTTGGTCATCGGCAGAGAGTCCTAATTACAACTTCCTGATGGAGTTCTCATAGATTATTTTGACAGAAAATAATGAAAAACTGCTAAATTTTTAGTAAACGATGTATTAACTGAAGATAAAGGAAACAAGTTTTCGAGATAAAAGTGCTTTTTTATTTCACGGTATGTTAAACAAGAACTTCACTTAAATAACATGCATCAACTATCTATAGAGTGTCCTGATACTTGATACAAAAAAGTCAGGTACAAATAGATGAGGTCAAAATAATATCAGTTCTTCATATAATTTTTTTTTCTAACGGGCCTTCGTTAGTAAGTTACGGCCCCTCAAAGGTGAAAATTAAAAAGTAATTTTTATTTATAGCCTCTAAACTATTAACTTCAGCTTGATGTAAATTTGATGGTCAATAACATATGCGTACAGCTTGTTTTTGATGTTGTAAGTAAAATTTCGTTATGCCCAGAACGCCACGGACGGAGTATGGCCAATGGTTAACAGCCCAGAATTTTTGCATAGATGGCAATCGCAATCTGTCTGTATCAAAAATAAGTTCCCTGAAGAATTTGCCAACGATAATATCCTCTCGGTTCAAGTCGGTAAAATTAACAGTTTGGGAAATATTTGTGATTTTATCTCACAGTGCATATCGAGTGGCGTTTCCACCATTTCTGTTTTTAATTTTTATTTGGACATAATTACTATGTTAGAAACGTATATATTTTTAAAATAAGAACCTAGAAAATCTTATTGTCTGCTAATGTAATTTTCACTAACAAAATTTGACAAATACACTTTACACATAACACAAAATAGAAAAACAAAACAATAATAAGTTAAAGTTAAAAAAATAATTTAAAAGAAAGAAAACTACCAAAATACATTTTCAATATGGACACTTTCCACCTCCACGCGCTTCCTAAGTCTACGAATGTTATTTGTTTGTACACGAAAAAGCATTTCTGGGGTGTATCACAATGGAAATTAATTCTTTGTAGCAATTCGTCCCTTAGCTGTACTGGGGTTGCGTACACTAAACTTTTCAAGTATTCCGACGGAAGAAGTCCATCGGGTTAAAGTTTGGAGAACGTGATCGTCATTTATGCAAAAATTCTGGGTTGTTAACCATTGGGCATAGTCCGTCTCTGGAGTTCTGGGCATAATGAAGTTTCACTTACAATATCAAAAACAAGCTGTACGCATGTGTTATCGATCACTAAATTTACATCAAGCTGAAGTTATTTGTTTAGAACCTGTAGATAATAACTTTTTAATTTTCACCTTTTAACTTGTTAACGAAGACCCGTATGAAAAAAAAATTATATGAAGAACTGATATTATTTTGACTTCATCTATCTGTATCTTTTTGTATCAAGTACCGGCACACCTTGTATATGAGTTTTTTTCTTTAACATATCTCTCAATAAATACCAAATCATTGGACCACTTTGGAGTATATATTTTTTTCATTTTATTTAATTAACTTGAATTGTATAAGTATAAAAGTAAACAAATGGATAAAACTATTGTTTTCCAATGTAGATCAGATCTATTCCATTTGTATTTTGCATGTTTTTATTAACAAATAAATATACCTACAACATGATATTTGATATCAAAATGCATTTCTTCTCAATATAAAAATGAACTTATCTTTTAAAATTAATTCTGCGCAAAGTTAGTAGTCAAAATTTCGTTAAGATACAGACTTATCAGATGAGTTTACAGTAAAAAATAATAATATTAAGATGTGTGTATTTATCCAAACCCGTGTAAAGGGTTTTACCTAAAAATAATTAAGAGTGAACAACCTTTATTCGCGAATAAAATCTTCAGTTAGGTGTGATATTATGATCATTACCACATTCCAGAGGTAATAGAGCCACTTGATGCTTGTATTTTTACTCTTTTTACCATAAAATTGTATGTACAAAAATTCTTGTAATTGTAAACTTTTGAAACCATTTTCTAAATTTAAAATTGGCAAAGAAAACAAAATACTACCGTTAAAGGAAAAGTAAAATAAAAAGATTTGTGAAGATTATTAAGCCTTAATTGAAAAAGAAACATCACTTTTGATAACAAAAAATCAATTTTCCGAAACGGTAACTATAATAATTGAAATATGCGATATGTAGATATATTTTTTATTTGTCTATTTGTTTTAGTATGAGATTTTTTGTTAAGGTTTGTTTAATTATTTTTTGATATTTTTTCGCAGGTGGCAAAATATCAAAAGAAAAATTTTTAAGTATGTAACAAATAAATGCCGGCAGCAGATACCCTATATTGGTTCTGTTTCCCACTCCACTATTTTGCCACTACGTATCCTCCGTTTTGGACTCAAATTAATTTGGTTTATCTGTATAATAATCAAGAATAGATACTCTATTGACATGTGGTGAATGTAGACAAACTGCTGTGGCCGCAGTGTTTTCTACTTCTCCGTGTACCAAATGTTGCAAGATTTATAACATTCGCTTAAGAATCAAGTGATATTAGTAAGTAAGTAGTATAACCCATCGAGAATGTGATGGAGCTCATAGCAGTTCCTTAACTATTTCAGTCGAATTAGAGTTTGAACGTGAAGAAATTATAACAACACACACTGTCGGTGGATTACTTTTAAATTTTGTATTCATTGAGATTCGGAAGACCATTCAAAACTGGCATATTCAAGAAAAAACAGCATCTTCACCTAGACGTATCCGTAGAAAATTACATGAAGATGTGGAATATACTAGCGGTAAAGTTTGCGTAAGCTTTTGCACATCATAGAATTCTGGTGGCCAAAACCAAAGGTCAAGCCAATAATGGTACGTCATGACATACAAGACTTGAGGTTACATTTACCATGAGGAGGCTCGACCAATTGCTTGTATGAATGAGACGTACATTCATTCTTCGCACACCCATGAAAATTCTTGGTGCGATGAAAACAACAAAGGGTTATCTAAAAAGGACAACATTTATTTAACAAAGGTATTCAATTTGCGGATAACATGTTAAAAGAAGAGTTATATAACATTATAAAAATGTATAATCCAATATTTAAAATATATGAAGGCGAGTAAATTTTACAAAAGGTCATACTATTCTAAGACTACCACCAACCACTCTGACCTGAACTCTACCGAACTTGTTTGGGCGCCACTCAAATAATATGTCGTTAGTAAAAATGTTACTTTCACTTTGATAGACATAGAAAAGTTGTGCAATGAGTTTTTCAACACATGTACACTAAAAGAATCGTAGTCAATTTGTCGAAAAAATTGAAACAGAATGACTAGAACCTGTACTCGACCTGGCTATCGATCAAATTACTATAAGCCTTCAAGATGATAATGATTCGGGTGGTGAAGATAATATTTTTAAATCTAATATTAATGACAGTGAAAGTAAAGATGTTCAACTATTATTTTTATTCATATGAATTATATTCACCTACAATAAAAACTCTCGCGGGAAAATGAGTTTTGTCAAACTGTACATGCTCTCTTAAATATTTCAACTTTGGCTGCAATTGTATTGCGGCCTTCTTCTATTCGCCGTTTTAAAACTTGGACTGATTTTGCATACATAAAACGTTTAAGGTAACCCCAAATAATGAAGTCCACTATAAGGCTGGCGATCTAGGTGGCCATTGAATCAGTACACCACGTTTAATCCACTTTTCTTTGCAAGTTTCATTTAGGTGCTCCTGAACTAGCCCATGGAAATTATGAAAAAAAGGAGGAACCTCTACAAAATTCCCTCCAGACTGAATTTTTACACAGACCTACTTTGAGGTGTCCTAAACTAAATCTGCACCACAAATCACATAAATCACAATATGGCTACCCAAGGTATTGAAGGTCAAAGTTATTCAAATATTTCGCGTTCTATGCATCGGACATTCATAAAGGAATTAACTTATCTACAAGATTGGTCTCTTGCAATCTTTCCCAACACCTCTCCCTTTTCGAGAAATTCAAAGTTAAAGCTTCAAAAAACAAGTTTTTTCGCGATTATCTCGCGCCCATGAAATAGGAAAAAAATATTATGTTATCTTCTGCAATTGCCAGGTGTAGTTGCAGAAAAATCGGACTTGAAAGCTCCGATGCTTGCACCAATTGTCGGGGAATATCGTGTGTAAATACGAAACAGAAAATAATAATTGACCCGGAAGATCTTACTGCTGAAATAGATGATTTGAATTGTTCAAACATTATAACAACTAGTAACAATGAAATAAGCAATGCCGATGATGATGATTCTCATTATTATAATAATAATGATTATAATGATAGCGACGATGATAGTTTTCAGAATGAGTTGGAACTCATTGAAGTTGAATATGAGTTCGAGTAGGATTCATCTATCTAGAGTACCTACTCTATGTAATACCTAATCGAAGCAACCTTCATGTAAAAAAACGCGCCATGCATTCTACCTCGTGCATGGTGTGGAAACAGAAATATTTTTTAGAAACTGTAATTTTACCAATCTTGCAAATAATAAGGTAAGTCAATTGATGTACTATATAATGAAGACAGATATCATCCTGCTATTGATTTAGAAATTAAAACTCGCATTAAACATTCTAATAATCCGACATTTTCATGTAATAGTAATGACACATTCTATAATTTTCGGCGCGCGGATTTTCCTTCACTTTATGAAAATCTTAATAACATCGATTGGTCGCCTCTTACAGATTATTCAAAAATCGATGATGCATGTAAATTTATGTATGATTATATACATGATGTGATGGATGTTTGTGTTCCCAAAACTAAATTCCGTAATAGCAAGTATCCTAAGTGTCCTACTCGATCCATTATTAAAGATATAAATAATAAATTATTAGTTAGATAAAGTTATTGCGTCAATTTAAACTATCGGGTGATATTAGATTTCATAATGATTTTAGAGACCTTAGATGCAAAATAAAGAGAGACGTTGGTAGGTCATATAGGGAATACTTAAAAACAATTGAAGATAATATTAAAAATAACCCTAATAAATTTTGGGCATATATATCCAGTAAAAGGAATGACTCTAGCACATCCAGTGAGATGAGTTATAACAATCAGATATTAACTGACAGCCAAATGATAGTGAATGCTTATGCGTCGTATTTTCAATCTTCCTATGTAATGTCTCAAACTCACAATATACAAGTTAATGTGGCTAACATTGAGTCGGACAACATGCTTATCATGGAAAGCATTACAGAGGATGTTGTCAAACGAGGTTTGCGCAAACTGAAGCCAAAAATGTCCATGCGACCGGATGAAATCCCTGCGTCTGTGGTAAAGGACTGTGGTAGCACCTTTATTCGTCCTCTCACTATCATATTCAATTTAATAATGAAATCCAGGAAGTTTCCTAATATATGTAAAGTCTCACGTTTATGCCCTATTTTTAAGAATGGTGACAGGAGTGATATAACTAATTATCGACCCATTGCGCTAATCTGTGGTTTCTGTAAGGTATTTGAGAATATCTTGTATCAGTATGTCTATAACCATGTCAAAAATATTGTAACTATAAATCAACATGGTTTTATGAATGGGAGATCTACTACAACGAATCTCGTGTGTGTTTCTCAATATGTCGCGGATGTTCTGGATAATCGGGGGCAGGTTGATATTATATACACAGATTTCTCGAAGGCCTTTGATAGACTGGATCACAAAATTTTGATTGAAAGACTGGGTGGTTACGGATTGTCTGAAAATTTAGTTGATTTGTTTGTGTCATACCTGACTAATAGAACGCAATATGTACAACAAGGGGGGTTCAAGTCACAAGTAATAAGAGTACTGTCAGGAGTACCTCAGGGTTCAGTCCTGGGACCTCTACTGTTCAACATCTTTTTGGATGACATAATTAATTCCATTGATGTCAATTTTTTAATGTACGCAGATGATATGAAGTTATATACGAGGATTGAAACCTCTAAGGACTGTGAACGGCTGCAAAATGCTTTAAATTTAGTCGAACATTGGTGTACAGCTAATAAACTCCCACTGAATTGTAAAAAATGTAATGTTATGTCATTTAGTAGACAAATACCATTGAGCTTTGGTTACCATTTAGATCGGCCTACCCTCATCAAAGATTTAGGAATTGTATTTGATTGTAAGCTTTCGTTTGTGAAACATGTTGATAGGATTTTGAAGACCTCATACAAAAATTTAGGGTTTGTTATTCGAAATAGTAAAGATTTCTTGGATCGTAGTACATTATTTATTTTATATAATTCGTTTGTGAGGTCTAGATTGGAATATGCATCTATTGTGTGGAACCCGCTATATACAGTTCACATAAATAATTTGGAGAACATACAAAGGAAGTTTTTAAAGTACTTATTTTATAAAAAAAAATCGTATTACCCCCCCTTTAATTTTCCTCAGAACCTTCTGTTAAATCATTTTGGCGTGAATTCTTTACGGACTAGAAGATCAATGCACTCGATCATTTTTTCCATAAGATAATCCAAAACATCTTTGACTGTCCTCAGATATTAAATTTACTTAACTTTAATGTGCCTAGGTTAACTTCGCGTTCTCCTGCAACCTTCAGTTTGCCTATCCCTCGCACAAATCTCCTAAAAGCTTCTCCATTGTTTCAGGCATGTTCAAACTATGCAAAAATTGCACATCTTGTAGTTGTTTTTAATTGTAATGATATTAAAGAAAACACTGTACATATTTTGATCATGACCTAAATTAACCGAGTATAAATGTGTTATTAATAGGTTGTTTGTATATTACTTATACTGCGTATTTTTCTGTCTTCTTCATGTTATTTGTCAGATGTTTGTTTTATACTTACTTATTATACAGGGTCGGAAAGTCCCCAAGGTTCATTTGCCGTTACGTGAGAGCGATAAAGTAAGTCATAGAAATCCGTGCGATAGAGAAAGATGGCTATAATGAAGGCGCCTAATAGTCACCGCCCATTTCGCACTTCCACAAATAAGAAGTGGATCTTATTTGTGGAAGGGCGAAATGGGCGGTGACTATTAGACGCTATCATTATAGCCATCTTTCTCTATCGCACGGATTTCTATGACTTCCTTTATCGATCTCACGTAACGGCCGATGAACCATGGGGACTTTCCGACCCTATATAGGTTTAATCTCTTTTTTTTCCTTGTATTTCTCTATATTGTAATCATTCCTTGTACTCCCATTCCGTAACTGGTATTTTGTTTCTGTGGAATGGTGTATCCAAAATAAATAAATAAAAAAAAATTAAATAATTACATTTTCCACAACTTTTACATTGACTTCATAGACGTCCGATACATAGGAACCAAGATATTTTTGAAAAAACATTTTCTTTGGAATTTAGACTGAATATGTCGAAAAAGACGAGGTTTTTGGGAAAAACAACTTTTATGTTAACTTTATCACATTGAGTGCGGGATATTCGCGAAAAAATTTGTTTTCGAAACTATGATCTTGAATATTTCGAAAAGGGCGAGTTTTCAGGAAAAAATGCGAGAGACCAGTCTTGTAGATAATTAAATCTCTTCAATTTGGATTTGCAAAAAACTTTGACCTTCGATATCTTGGGTAACCATGTTGTGATTTTTGTTACTTTTGCGGATTTGGGTTTGGGACACCCTGAGTTAGTTATCAGGTAATACGCTGTGCCAAATTTGAATTGATACGGTTTACTCATTTGGAAGAAATAAATACATTTTTTTTACGAAAATTTTAATTGTATGTATTTTGAAAATGAAGTATTTCCAAACATATNCGGATTTGGGTTTGGGACACCCTGAGTTAGTTATCAGGTAATACGCTGTGCCAAATTTGAATTGATACGGTTTACTCATTTGGAAGAAATAAATACATTTTTTTTACGAAAATTTTAATTGTATGTATTTTGAAAATGAAGTATTTCCAAACATATTTTTTACTTTTAAATTTCTTTACACTATTTCTAACATCCTGTATAACACAATTAATTAATATGTTTCATTAGAATCCCGGAATTTTAGAAAATACCTATAAGGCCGCAAAATTTCAGATTATTCTGTGTATGCAACACAGACGAATAATTGACAAACTGAAATAAACTGTGGTTAATTTTGTGATATATCACATACCAACCGAATATTCCCGGTGCATCTTGTACGGATCATTATTAAGCTAGTAATTGGACAGCAATGCGCTCTTTATAACGAAGTGTAGGTTTTACACTTTTTCGTCAATCCTTATGCAAAGCTTTCATCATTTTAATCCGATTTAAAGGATCATCTTTTTATTGTAAGGCTCAGAATGGGATAAGAAGGGAATTGCAGTTGCAGACCGTTAGCGAATATATCATATCGAAACTACAATGATAATTATCTGACAGTTGAATACACTGTTAGCAGCAAATCACAATTAAAGGTTGCCGGAGCCATAAGGGGCTATATAAAGTTTATGATAAAATAAAACATCTGAACGTTAATGCGCGGTTAAAATTCTTATTTGAGGCTAAACTGATGTAGGTACAGAGTTCACGTGGGGTTATACATTTTATAATCGCCGCTGTGATGTATTACGAATTTAATAAACCTCTTCTGTATACACTTTAGGGAGTATATAAATTAGTCTAAGAGTTACTCAATGCATAAAATAACAATTTGATATTGATATAATTTTTCTGATTTAAATTACTTTAGATACCCTAAACTTTAGCTCTTCTTTTAATTTTTTCAGTTTGTAGACATTACTAAAACTAAATTCAATTTTGTTTCAAAAGACTTGAAATTTAAAGAGGTCAATTTGAAAATTTAAAGCGTGATTTCTAAGTTCATGTGATAGATTTAGGAGTTTGTTCATTGGGCAATATTAGACCAAAATCGCTTAAGGAACCACCATTTTTCGAAACAAAGAAATTGAAATTAAAAAAATTATATATTACTTAAATACCACTCAAGATGTGTGGTACAGTTTGATGAAAATTGGGCTAATATGTAGATATGTGTAAAAATTTATAAAATTTAATGTTACTAAAAATCCTAGAACTTCGACACCATTGAACATTTTGAAAAGTGCATTTAATTTCTAATTTTATATCTAAAAAATCGTTTTATATTTTATTAGTAAAACGAGTTATTTTCTAAAATTTGAAACATTGACCTTTAAAATGAATCGTTTCATAAAAAAATACATTGATATATTTTGCTCACAACACAGTTTTAAATACAGAATAACTATGAAAAGTCCAAAAAAACTCATAGGTGCAGAAATGTTTAATTATCTGAGGAGTGGGAAGGCTCACCAGAAAAATTAAAATTTTTTTATCAATTTGCTATGTTTCTAAATTCAGTGCCATTTATATCGAAACTCAATAATTGATTT